CATGACAAATGATCTTGTTTATTAAAAAATAAAGACAGAGGGGGATGGAGGAGGATTTGGGGGGACCAAAAGGGATGTTTCATGATATTAAGAATTTTTTTAATTTTTCGGTATGAAAATGAGATGTGGTTATTTATGTTTAGGAAGATTGTGTGAGTGATATCTGCTGACATAGATTAAATGATATGATATGTGGTGTTTGCAACAAAATCTAGGGAATGGGGATTGTATGAGAGTAGAGAAAAACAACTGACGATTGTTGAGCCTCAGTGATAGGTAAGTCAGGTTCATTATGCTATTTTCCTTTGTGTATATTTGAAAGAACTATTAGCCACATATCTCTTTATGATGAATAGTAATTATTATTATTGACTACCCTAGGCCATTCAAGGTCCTAAGCATTTTATCTATTTTTACTGATTACCCCAACAATCTTGAGGTAGGTATTAATACTATTATAATCCCTAGTATAAAGATAAGGCTATTAAGGCATGGTAGCTAAGTAAACTGTTGAAGGTCACACAGTTCATGATGACTTCCAGGAATGCAATAGTGGCAGTTCCCAGAATTCATGTTCTCAATCACTGATTGAAATGTTTGGGTGTATGTCATGAAAATGAATAGAAGTAACATGAAAATCAACGACAGCAGCTAACATTTATACTGAGCTCTATTCTGGTGGCATGCACTATTCTAAATATTTCATAGCTAACTTTAATTCAAGGCAATCCTATAGGGCAGTCTTATCCTTTTTACTTTAGAGAAGAGAAAACTCAAAGCAGCTAATAGCTCATCCATGATCACCCAGGCTCTGGCAGAGATAGGGTACTATATCAGTTATCTGTTGTCAAGTCATAAACCACTCAACATTTATTGGTTTAAAATCACAGCCATTTATGTAGCTCATAACTATGAGTCAAGTTAGGCTGGGTTCAGCTAGCTGGTTCTTCTAACCTTGGCTGGCTTTTCTTGGGAGAGTCTGCTATCAGCTGCATTCAGCCTGGGTGGCTCTACAGGTGAGGGTGGGTTGGTGGTTGGATGGAGCACCTTGGTTCTCCTCCACAAGGTGTTTGTCATGCTCCAGTAGGCTAGCTCCGACTTGTTCTCATGGTGGAGGCATGGATCCAAGAACAAGAGTGGACTTGTGCAAAACATCCCTTTTTCCACATTCTATTGGCCAAGGCCAATCACAAGTCCAGCCCAGATTCGAGGAGTGAAAAAACAGCCTCCATCTCTTGATGAGAGAATCTGAAAAATAACATGGCAAAGGAAGTGGATTCGGCAAAAAAGAGAGGATCGGGGCTATTTTTGCAATGAAGCTACTGCAGGGACCCTCAACCCAGATTTGTGTAATTTGAAAGATATGCATCCCTGTCCCTCATTTGGGGTTCTATGGCAAATTTGGTTTACTTATTACCCACTTGATCTGAACTTATCTAAATCGGAATTCTCCATCCAACTAAATTCTATGTGCTGAGCCCGTGAGTACTAGAGCAAGATAGCAAAGGTTTGCTGCTGCGACTTGCCAGAGGATAGGATTACACCCCAGGATGCCAGAAGTCTGGATGTCATGGAAAGAAGAACATTAGCAAAAAGCCCCAGTTCCCAGGTAATGAGAGATTCTGACAAGTAACAGCAGCAATGCAGCCGTAATAGAATTTCAATGAGATAAATTCCACTTTCTGCCCAAGTTTAGCCACTCAGGGAAAAAACAATTACCTGTGAAAATGGAGCACTCTCCGTATATTATCCCTTCATTAAAATATTCAAATGAAGGTAACAACACGGTTATAAGCTCATTTATAAAGAAAAATAACATTAATGCATTTTACGTTAATGCATTTGCCTCAGAGTGCTTCCCAGAGATGTTACAATATGAAGTTTATAAAATGCTCAGTGATGTTGAACTTGAATTGCAACCTAATGCTTGAATTGCTACATTTAACATTAAAAACATGTTATTAATCTTCAATTTAGGGAAGAATAATTTTCACTCACTGTGCAGGGAAAAAAAATCCAGTTACGATGGGATTTCATTCCGATCAAATTTGCTTTAATTGCAATTCTATTAAATTAGAAATAGACGTTTTATCCTGATATGATTCTTTGATGTCTTTAGTTTTAATGCTAATAAAAGCATTATCACCACAGGTGTGAGCTGCATTATGTACAATAATTAGTGCTTAAATTAAAGATGTGTCAAGCTACCCAAAAGTAATTTGGAAAACTAATGCAAAGAAGTAAAACAGGTGAAACTTTGGGGGCATTTTATTTCTTTGCACCTTTGGCAACATCCATTTCTCATTATTTTGCTTTTTTTCATGACAAAAAAATAATGCTATTAAGAATAATACCTCCAAGCCATGGTTAAATAAAGTACTGTAAAGCAATTGAGTGGAACACTTTGCAGACAAAAAAGGCATTGTAGAAGACTATCTAATAAAATGAAAAATGTAAACATGCATATTAAGTAAAGAAAAGCTATAAATTAGTATGTATAGCATATAATATTTGTAAAATATGCATAAAAAGTCTTAGAGGAAATACAACCAAATGTTAATCAGTTATTAGTAATCTTTAAGTGGGGGATTACAGTGGATTTTTCTTTTAATGTCTTGACCTGTATTTTATAATCATTTTTATAATTAACAAAGTTATTTTGTTTTAGAGGGAAATCTTATAAAAAACCAAAATGCATTCTACATGACTAAGCTTGTCATAATCAAAGACTGTGTCATATTTCTTTGTGAAACACAAATACTACAGTGAATTTAGGCAGATAACACCATCTGGGGGATGAATGAATGAATGAATGGATATGTGATGAATGAATGAATTCTAGGAATTGGCATTTAACATATAGCTAACAAAAAGGTAGCCAGGAATTATGGTTTTACCTTTTGCTTTTCCTGCAAAGACCTCTCTTCAGGATCTAAGCCTCTTTAGTTACTGAAACATGTTAGAGGAAAGATGGCCATCATGACTCACTAATGCTCTTCTCTGAAATGAACCAAATCTGGGGACAGACCCAGAATATGTAAACTTACCCTCAGTACCTTGGGTTATAGATGAAAATGTCCCTCTCTTCACATAGAAGTGAATTGACATGGCAAAGCCACATGAGACTTTTGAGTTTCTTTCTTTGCTAAACTTTGTTAAATATTTTATTAATGTCCACACCCACTGTCTGTCAGGAAAGAGACCACAGACTGTTGGGGAGGCAATGATAAATGAGGACATGCTTTCTGCCCTCAGGGAAGCTTGGAGTAGGGAAAGGGAATAGGCTTTGAAATCCAACTGGCTGAGTGGAAAGTGACTTCCGGTCCTCAAACTCCAAGGTCTTCCTCTCTAAAATTGAGAAGACAATGCATTAACTCCTAGGGAACAGAAAAAGATTTAAAAAAACTAAAAGATTAAAATGAGAAAGAAATAATAATTCATTGTGTTTTATAAAAATGAAACCAGATACTATATAAATAAGCCAGCACATAGAAAGTTCTCAGAAAGAGGTAACCATCCTCAGGAAAACAACAAAAAGACATACAATAAAACATGTCAAAAATGCAAAGTAAGTATGTGTAACATACATTGCGCTTGATGTATGTTGCATTTGATTTTCACATCTACCTGGTCCTGCCCTCCCTAATTGCTGGGGACAAAAGGGATTGTCTGTGCTTATAGGAGTTTGATTGTATCCAGAGAAGTTATAGTTACTAGAGATGAGATTGGTGCTATTGTGATGGGATTATACCAGAGACGCAGAAATTTCTCATTGGGGCCGTGTCCGTACCCCTTATCCTCTCTGAATCTTTAAAAGAATTCTCTAATAATTAGGGAAGGGTATATTATTAATAGTTATTTATTGCCACATAACAAGTTATGCCGAAAGTTAGCAGCTCAAAACAACACACACGTGTTCTGTGGGTCGAGAATCAGAGATAGGCTTGGCTGAATCCTCTTACTCAGTTCTTGGTGTCAGTGCATTAGCCGGGGCCAGGGGCCGCATCTGAAGGTTCGGCTGGGGAGGGACACACTTCCAAGCTCACTCACTCACTCATATAGTTCTTGGCAGGATTTGGTTCCTTAAAGGCTATGGGTGGGAGGCCACCTTTAGTTTCTTACCATGTGAGCTCTCCATAAGGCAGGTCACAGCATGACACAATTGTGTCATGTCTTTATCAACTAGAGAGAGAGAGAGAGGTGTCACACTCTCCTTGCAACCTAACCTTGGGAGTGACATCCATCATTTTGTTGTATTCTGTGCAAGAGAAGCCAGTATTTAGGTCCAGCCTGTACTTGGGGGTAGGGTGGGGTAGAGGTGGGAAAGGGGATTATATAAGGGTGTGAATATTTCTAGGCTGATATCCTTGGGGGCCATCTTAGCTGCTTTCCACAATGGGGCTCTAAGAACCACTCCGGTGATATTTGAGCCTGTGCCTTAAAAGTTCCAGTGTCATAGCCTCAGGAAAAGGCTAGCTTGGATCCTGAGGTCTAAATGGTGATTCTGTATTCATCTCTGTGATTTGAAGGCTGGAGGCCCAACAGCTCAGCCATGCTGAAGAAAAAGAGAAGAAAATTAACTGGTCTAAGTCATCCAGAGTGTCTTTGGATGGTGGTGGTCAACCCAGCAGCTGCGTGTTCAGGAAAGGGTGGAAAGTGTGAAGAGCCGATCTGGGCTTAGTACTCTCCGTTTTCACAGAACGCAGGCAAACACATGCACACACGCACACTTGCTATGTGCCAGTTCCATGTGCTTTACACTTCTGTGAAGTCACTGTGATTATCATCAACCCTATCTTGCAGATGAGGAAACTGAGGCACAGGGAGATTGAGTCTTAAATCTAAGCTCACACAGTTCATAAGAGATATGGCTGGGGTACAAACTGAGGCTCTTTCTTCATTGCTGTGGTCTCAAAATTTCTTAAAACATGGTAACTCTACCCAGAGTTTAGTAAATGGGCTGGGCTATGACTTATAAAATTCACAGCTTTTGGAGAACTAAAAAGTAGCCAGGCAGAGGCAGAAGCAAAACTGAGGAAGGGGCAGATGCTACTTGTGCCCCCAACCTGCCACCGCTTACTAGAGTTCTTAAAATATTTTGGGACCATGTAATGGGTTTTGTTTTGTTTTCTGTAATAATATCTTGCACAGTGTCTACGAATAGTTTGGTCACAGGAATATGAGCAGAAAGGCTACAGGTTTTGACATTGCACGTTTCAGCCTAGCAGTCTTAACGCATATTGGCTTTGGCATCTGACACACCTGAGGTTAGAATTCTGGGATTTTGGCTTAGTTTGTGTGACCTTGGCCTTTCCCATCAGGCGCTGAGTTTCCCCATCATTAGAACGAAATAAAAATATCTTCCCGTGCGATGGCCGTGATGACTGCATAAAATTGTGTGCCAAGCGTCTGGGATGGCCCCATGCAGCCCGTAAATGGGAGCTGGTTCCTGATATTAGCAGTTGTCATCCAGTCTTCAAATAGAGGGACGTTTCTTCCACTTCACAATCCAGCGTTCCACGTGTGATCTTCAAAAACGTTACTGTTCCCTGTTATAAAAGGAACAAAAAGCATATTAGTCAAAGTAAGTTAATATTAACCACTTCAGTAACCTCCTCCAACCCAAATCTCTGTACTTAGTGTGATGGGTTTTTTCTTTCCTGTCTGTAGCCGGAAGGGATGGGCCCTTGCTGAGCAGTTGTCTGCCAAGCAGCCACGCCGGGACCCAGCCTTTTCCCGTGCTGTGGCCGAATCACCCAGGGGCCCTTCGCTTCCGGCCACGTGGATGACAGAGAAGGACCCAGCAGACCACATGAGACATTGTAGGAGCCAGGGCTCAAAGTAACTTACAGCCTCTCTGCTCATTTCCCTTTGGTCCAAAACTAGTCACTTACCTAGATGCAAGGGGGCTGAGTGACTGTTTTTATGCGTGCCTAGGGAGAAAATAAAAAATAATTTCATTGTCCCTGGCATCCTATATTGGATGCCAATTGGGTGGATGAAAGGTAAGAAAAAAATACAACAGAATATTACCTTAATATTACCATACGATCAGTCACATTTTGCATTTTTCTCTTTCTTCGTATATGGTCTCATGGGCGTCATTTTAAATGCTGCATACATTGTTTGGGCGTTGGTATGATTTTCTGAGTCATCCCCCTATCAATGCACAAATATTTAGGATTATTCTAATCCTCTTCCCCAGTATGTGACAACTTCATACTACCAACACCGGTAATGCTGAGGTGCTTACCTTCAAGGCCAGGTACATGGCTGGGAAGTCACAAAGCTGAATGCTGAAACCAGCCAATGTAACTCTCACGGTTCCTTAAGCAAAGGAATATTCACAGTCCCTGAGGCCAGCCTGACAGCTCTTACCCTGGGTTCATTGCCTCTAAATTAGAAGGGGAGCGTTAGATATGTGCCTGAGTCAAATTAGACTTGACTTGGATTATATTTTCTTCCATAGAGGCGAACCATCTATATTATAATGTTCAGTGGCCAGTGTCAGGGAAGAACAGCCGCAGTTTCAAATGATTGCATGGCTAAAAATCAAAGTATGGTAATGCTTCCCAGCAAAACTCGCCCTCTTCAGCAGCGCTGCTTTGCACAAAAAACATAACTGCGGTCTGGATGGCATGGAATTGCAGAGAGAGTGCAAATAAAATGCAGATTTGTTTCCATTTCATTCCATCCCAACAGCAGTTATTCATAAGAGCTTAATGTGCAGCCACTGCATTTCCCAAATGCAATGTGCTCAGGGTTTTGTGCAGTTAAAATTGGTTTTATAGGCAAGGGAAATGCCACCAGCACTGCAAAATTGTTGCTATACTTTTGCTCTCCTAGATTTAGCCCTGTAGTGTGAGTATTCCGATCCGAGAATAGTTGTTGCCTCCATAAGGCAAAATCCAAACTACCAGAGTCAGGGTTATGCTGGAAAACACAGACACACACACAGCATCTTATATAACTCCATAAATTAAATATGAAGCCTCTTTGTGCTTTCAGAAAAAAATCAGAGAGAATCAAAGGCTTATACAAAATTCTTCTTACTCTGCTTGGAGACATCATTGCCCTTCTAAGCTTCCACATCTTGGATCCCGATGCCATTCCCATTCATTTTTAATTCTTTGCAGTTTCCTGCACGCAAATGGTTAATCGCAATTTACCCAGATGGTTTTTACCTGTGCTTTACGGCACTTTCAGACAGACTTGTCCACCGAAATCTAAGCAATGCGGCTAGTTGTTCATCAGGTAAGGAAGGACTGGGAGGCAAGACCACATCTTTTTTATTTTAGACCCAGTGTCACTCTTCAAAAGCAGCCCATTTGTGTGGCTGCCTCAATTTATAGAGCTGGGGAAACCAGGGCGTAGACAGGGAGACAAGTGGAGTCGTGGCCAAGTAGCTTAGAAGACTCGGCCGGTGTGCCATGTGTACCTGCATATATGGTATGCTGCTCTTCGTGGGTGAAGATTACATTCTGACCTGCAGAGCTTGGCATTAGTTTTCCAGGATTGGGACTGGGCTTGGTGTGATCCATTTCCCTAAATCTTTATTCCCTTCAGACCGATGGTTCGTGTTCACCTCCAGTTTGTTTGGTGGTTTAATTTTCAGAGATTGGGACACACCTGTGTTTTATCGGCATTGCCTCTGTAACACAGAAAGCACGTTAGAACTCAGTACTGCTTTGAACTAAGGTTTCCCAATAAAAGCTCCACCCGAGACTGATGGATGGACAGGGGGCCCTCCATAAGGGGAGCGTGTCCAGCGTACCCCAACACAGCAGGGCCACGTGGACTCCCGATGAGTCCACACCCCACACCAGGGAATCTCAGTGGGACAGAGACCGTCTACGCCAGTATCCCTACGGATGGATGCCACGAAGTCAGCGCGGCCGAAGGCAGCCCCTGCCACGAGCGGCAGCTTCCCTGTCATTCTCCGAGCAGGACATTAGCGTGAGATGTGCATAATCAAGCAATTTTGATTCATGTTGGGGGGAAGCGATGGTATTTAGTGAAATTCAGTAAATTGTCCCTTTCCACAGTAATAACATGTTCTGAGCTTTCCCCGACAGACGTCGTGTAATGGTGATATAATAGGATCGCTATGGCAATTAAGCGATTGCATATTTTTGGGCAATGGAGGGCATCGGCACCAGGCCGCGAGCCGTTCGTAAAGTGGAAACGTCGTTCCGGGATTGGTCAGGATCTGGCTCAGGACCGGAGGACACATGCCACCATCCATTTTATTATTATTTTTTTTTTCAGAAAATTTGGGGGTGGGATAATATCACTGGGCTCCGCTGCTCACACTGGGATTGTACGGGGAAGAGTCCAATAGGTCTCTACATAGCAAATGACCGTCATCTTCATTAAAGCATTTAACAAATATTTATCTGCACAGCGATGCTAGACAAAATGGAAAAATGGATTAGGGGATGTACTTTCTGATGGCAGAGGAGCAGTGTGGAGGAGAATATTTAGTACCTTGGAAGCATCAGTGACCCCTCCACGTGCTGAGTGCCTTACGGGTTCCTTACTGGAAAGTTCCCATCTCCCTGCACCCCGCCCCCTTCACATGCACCGACTACTATGTGAGATTGATGGGGAAAAAAATGTTATCCCCATTTCACAGATGAGGATACTGACTTCTGGTGGCCAGTTCTAGTCCAGCTTATGTCTATGTGATTGTGCAAGACTCGGGGAGGTGGCATTTTTGACTTGGAAGATCTAGACGGTCAGATCCTCTTCCCCACCTCAGGTACTGGCGAATCTCTGCGCTTTCTTGTTTTATTTCTAAACTGGCATGACAAGCATGTGCTAAAGCTGGCTGTTAGCACATGGGTAACTGCTATATGAATACATTGTCCTGTGCTCTTTGCTGCATCTGAAACATTTCATGATGACAAATAACCAAAAAATAAAATTAATTGATGGACTGCAGTGGGGGTTGAAAACCTCCAAGTAACTTTTGGGAGGGTAGTCACTTTAGAAGATAAATAGTATATATTGTAATAAGGGTTTGTTTCTGCATCCCCATTTTTCTTATTGTTACTTGTATTGTAATCTCCCTGTCTGGTACCTCCAAGGGGCAGTGCCATTGGGAAGATTAGATCCTTACAGGGAGGGTCAAAGAAGGACACCTGCATTGCAGTACAAGATAGGGCAGGGAGTGGGGTCTTTGCACAAGGTATTCCTTCCACACAGAACCCTCCTCCTCCACCATCGGCCCTCTCCACAAAGTGCCAGCGCGCTTTCTGCAAAACACTCCAGCAAGTTCACCATTGGCTACTACCAGTTCAAGCATTATTACTTGAGGATTACTTCTCCACACACCGGGCTAAGCTGGGTCTCCTTCTATGTTCTCAGCATGCCTTATACCTTTCTATTTTTTATTGTGATAAAACACACATCACATAAAATTTTACCAGTTTAACCATTTTAAGGTGAATAATTAATTCAGTGGTATTTGGTGCATTCATAATATTGTGCAACCATCACCACTGTCTAGTTCCAGAATTTTACTGACCAAAAAAACCCAAAAAAACCAAAAAAAAACCCTATGCCTATTAAGCACTCACTCCCTGTTCCCTCTTTCTCCAGTCCCTGGCAACCACTAATCTGCTTTCTTTCTCTATGAATTTGTCTATGCTGGGATTTCTGTGCAAGTGGAATCATACAATATGTAGCCTTTGATGTCTATCTTCTTTCACGTTAACATACTGTTTTCAAGGTTTATCCATGTTGTAGCATGTGTGAGTACTTCATTCCTTTCAAAGGACACTAAAAAAGGAAGAAAGAAGATTAATCCCAAAATTGGAGAAAATATTTGCAAATCATATAACTGATAAGGATTTAGTGTATCCACAATATATAAAGAACTTTTACAACTCAATGACAAAAAGACAAACAATTAAAAAATGGACAAAGGATTGGAGTAGAGATTTCACCATAGAAAATACACAAATGGCCAGCGAGCATGTGAAAAGATGCTCAGCATCATTAGTCACTGAGGAAATGAAAACCTTATCTTTTCTTTTAAAAGCTCATAGAATCTTTATTTATTGATGTATCATTCTTTGATTAATATCTATATCTTCCACTGGACTAAAATCTCTACAAGACCAGGTCCATGTGGTTTTAAAATTTACTGTTTACAAATCTAATTCCCAGCACAGCACTTGACACTAGATAAGCCTTCAGTAAGTATTTGTAGAATAAGCAAGGGATGGTTAAGGAGAAACAAAGTGCAGTAGAGGGTCAAAAAAGGGAAAGATGTCAATTCTTTCAAATTACAGAAGTTCTGCATGTAGTTGGTGGGTCTCATGACCATGCACAAAGAAAACAGCTGTTCTTCTCTGACCTCTCCTAAATTGCATCTCTAGACGTCGGGATGATGATTGTTTCTGTTGTTGATGGTGGTAGAGCGGCTCCCCTTTATTAAGTGCTGTGAGTCAGGCATTGCACTAGGTGCTGAGGATATAACTTTAACAAAAGCGTGACTTAAGAGCGCACGTAAACCTGTCAGCACAGATTTCACTCTCCCAGTTTGTGTACGAAGGAACCAAGGCCCAGAGATTCCGGAACACTCAGGAGCCAAGTGGTTATCCATCAGCCCATCTTATATCGCTACACTATGCTCCTGGACTATTTCTCCATCGCTCCTGGACTCCCCACATCAAACGCAGGGTGCAGGAATGGGAGATGTCGGAAGAGACGTAATAATGGGCAGTTGGTAGTTATGAAGAGAGGAGAACAGAAGGAAGGAAGGAAGACACGAAGGAAAGAAAGATTAAAGTCTGGACCCACATTGCTTCTTAGGGTGATAACAATGATAGCAACAGCTAATATTTGTTGAGTGTTCTTCGTATGTTCCAAGCACTGCGTGAAGCAATTTAGTTTCCTTGTGCAATTTACTGTTACTGTCTCACTGAATGTAAAGATCTCCTGTAGAATGAAGCTACAATATAGCTGTTATCATCCCCATTTTGAATAGTAGAAAACTGAGTCACAGAGAGGTTGATTAAGTGGCTCAGAGCCACCCAGATGGCAATGAATGGAAGCAGGATTTCAACTCAGGACTTCCACATGCAATGACCATGTCCCTAAAGTGCAGCCCAGGAGCTCAGATTAAAATGTCATGGATTCCTGCTTCTTAATTCACATACCTTATGGGGTAATGTTTTATTGAAAAACACGTCTTTGTTTTTCCCAGTGTCCTTGGTCCAAATTGCCAGCAGCACAGAGAAGTAGAGGCTGCCTTGTCCTAAACATCCAGTAGGAAAATACTCCTGTTCATTGACAAGAATTCCCTACAGCCCCAATGAGTGAGGAGC